CCCCAAAACCCCAAAACCCCAAAACCCCAAAACCCCATTTTGGTCATTTCAAGTAGAAATTTAAATAAAAATGGAGAAAAGTCACAAAACTTCACTTAAAGATTATGAAATTAAAGAAAAAATTGGAAGTGGCTCCTTCGGCCAGGTCTTCAGAGTTAGGAGCAAGCTTGATAAGAAGATATACGTCCTGAAGCAAGTTAAGACTGCTAAAATGTCTACACAGGAGAAATAGAGATGCACAGAAAGAAACTATCATTCATAAAACACTTGATAACCCCTATATTGTGAAGTACATAGATCATTTCATGGAGAAATAAGATGATTAATATCATCCTGGAATTCTGTGATGGAGGCGATCTAGGTAAATACCTGAAGCTGCAGATGGGCAAAAATCTGAAAGAGAAAAATATCTGGAACTTCTTTATACAAGCATGCCTGGGCCTTCAGTACCTCCATACCAGGAAAATCCTCCACCGAGATATCAAGACAATCAATCTGTTCCTGATGAAGGACGGGACGGTGAAGATTGGTGACCTGGGTGTTGCCAAATCGTTGAAAGGCGTCAATTTTGCGCATACAATGGTTGGGACACCATATTATTTATCCCCAGAGCTAGTTGAAGAGAAGGCATATGATCATAAATCTGATATCTGGTCCCTTGGCTGCGTCCTCTATGAACTTTGCACCCTGAAACATCCTTTCACGGGTACTACGCAGGCTAGTCTGATGATGAAGATTATTAAAGGGAAATACGACAAGATTCCAGCTTTTTATAGCAAAGATTTAGCCGATCTCATCGATCGATGTTTAAAGAAGGACACCAGGAAGCGTCCCTCCATTCATCAGATCTTAGAAGAAGATACTGTTAAAAGGAAAGCTAAAGAACTATTAATCACAATTCCAACCAAGGAAGAAGTTGAAAGAGAGATCCAAAACCAAAGAAGCATGGTACAAGCTGCTTCTAGGAAGAAAGCACCCGGCACTGATAAGGAACAGGGACTCATTAAGAAGAAAAGTAGCGGTAGTACTCCTAAAGGTAAGACTATGTTTACATGGTTAGAAGCCGATAAGACCCCAAAGTTAGTAAATAAATCTTCATCCAAGCCTAAATCTTCTGCATCAAGGAACTCCAAGCCTGCAGTTGTTAAGGACAAGAAGACTGAGCATCAGAAGAAAGTAGAGGAGAATGAGAAGAAGATCAAGGACAGGAAGGAAAGATATGTAAGTTAATCACAGCTCTTTGTGATTCGAATTTACAACCAAGTCAGTTGTTGCCTAGCTTATATGGCCAAAAATAGCAGGCTAATCCACCTAATAATCTCTGTAGTTTTGGGGATCGTTTTACATTTGGATGAGCTTTAATCCTATCCGAATTTGATCGTTAATTTATAGCTAAAGAAACAATCAAGTGAGAGTAATAGCGTCATAGATAATTTTCCAGTATCTTATCTGAAGGATCCCAAATTGGTGAAGAAGGATAAGTCCCAAGATGATGCCAAGAACCAGTTCAAATTTGGTCTATTAGAGGAACGGAAGAAGAGTTCTAGCAACCAAAGGGTCATTAAGCATGGTGTGAAGCATACTGATAGCCATATTGTAATCACAAAGCCACCTCCAAAGCCTGCTCTTGTCCCTAAGCATTCTAAGCAATCTGCTAAATCTGAGATGCCAAGGAAGCCTCCCACTGGCTTGAGTCGAGTGGCGAAAAATGCTGCCAGAAAAGGCAGTGCTCTTTTGAAAAGGAATTATAAGCCAAAGAAGGAGGACTTTAATACGTCTAAAGACATCGAGGATGTCTGTAATCTTCCAGACTTTCCTAACGAAGGTGACAGTTCAAGTGATGACCAAAGAGAGCTCAAATCAGCTCAACAGCTCATGGCTGAGCATAAGGCTAAGAAGGGTGCTAGGAAGAAATCTGGGATATCAGCAAATTCTAAAAGTGTGGCTATTGACGAACGAGGAAATTTAGAGGACTTGCACAAGAAAAAGATGGTTATCCCAAAGCAAGATGCCAAGGGAATCCCATTAACCACAAAGGCTAACGGAAGCCAGCAGAAAATTGCTGATGCTGATTTTGATGATATTCTGTCTGGAAAAGCATCAAAGAGTAATAAAAATGACGACCAAGATCTTGAAGCCATGCTTAATGGCAAGCCATCAAAACCTGCTGATAAAGACGTAGGATTCTCAGGGTATGCCTCTCTTAGGAAAGATCAAACCCCTATTTATCAAGTAGAAGCCCAATGGAAGATTGCTGAACCTGATGATGAGCAAGAGACTGAGAAAGCTGAGGAGACTAAAGATGAAGATGATGACATAGAACATGATGATTTTAGTGAGAATGAAGATGATATGCAAGAAGCCTTTAACTTCACAGATACTGACTTTGATGTGAACAACCGTGTTGACTTCGACATCGAAGTAAGCACAGGGTTCAACCGCTCGCTAGAATCTATCCCTGAGGTAGAAGAAGAGTCTGAGAAATCTATTGAACGGAGAAAACTTGAAATTGAAATCAAGAGCCACGAAAGCAGAATCAAGGAATACGAGACTACACAGCGACAAAAATGGAACCACATAGTCCAGTACTGCAACAGTGATGGGAAGATCGCAGAATCATGCTATGAGTTCGCATCGAACAAGATAGACCAGCTCGACGATGAGCAAATGGAGGAGGTTTCTTCAGAGATCCAGAACTATGTCTATGCACATGGAGTCGACCAGCATGAGAATATGGCATTCGAGCTGTTTTGATACATTATTAAGGAGGCTGATATTCAAGCTCTGAGGGAGGACCTCGAAGGTGTCAAAGAGCGAATCGAGCTGATTTAGACCAGGAAATATAATTAATAGCCCTATTCTATGTATTTAAACCTACCTGGGGTTTTGGGGTTTTGGGGTTTTGGGGTTTTGGGGTTTTGGGG